TTGACCACAAAGGATTGGCTCCGTAGAATTTTTCTCACCTGGAACCAGTATCACTATCACATGTATTCTGGGGGAGAATGATTCAAATTTAGCTAGGATTGATGGCAGTGATGGTTTTTTAGTGTCTCCTGTAAACTACTAGAATGTTAAAGATAAAAATAAATACAAAAAAGGTGGGGTGCTGCCACATCTCCCCACTGTGTATCTGTAGGGCGTCTGTTGCCTGAAAACTTCAGGTAGGGGTGGATCCACGTGCCGAGAGGAAGAAGCCGCGGCTCCATCTTGTCGATCCTCCTAGCCCTCTGGCCGGCGCACAGCGCGTCAGTGCTGCGTTGGTCGCCAGGTCCACGTGCAGGCTCTGAGCTCCGGAGGAAATGCCAGGTTTGCTCCTTTCTCTCAGGAACAGCAGCTCTGCAGACGAATTCCTGCCACGGCGTTTTGCGTTCCACACAATCCTGCGCTCGGTTCGGTGGGGGGAACATCGGTCCGGTCGGTCTGGCCCATCTTTGCGTGGGGGAGGTGGGTCCTTAGGAGATGCCGGTGCAGTCCTGCCTGGGCGGCAGCTGTTCTCAGTGCCCTCTGGGCAGTCATATATCTGCGCTGCGACAAACCAAACGGTTTCAGAACCAAGTGTGGAGGTTGAAAAGGTGAGTGTGTTTGCCTTCAGTTCACGGGAAGAAGAGAAAAAGGTGGTGTTCGAACCTCCGGGGATGCAGCCATTGTTCCAACTGCTGACCTGGGTTCCCGTATCTTGCTGCGTGGAGCTGCCGTTCTAGCAGCATCGGCGATCGTTTGACGAGGGGTGGGGGCAGTACGAGGAGCTGTGCGGTGCGTGACTGAGCCGCGCAACCAGGCTGATGCAGTTGCGGCCGCCTCGCTCAGTTCCTTGGAATGCCTGCAGTAGGAGCGGCCGGGAGGGACACGGTGGTGTCCGAGCACCCGCTGGCTCTGAGCGCCTGGCTGAACGTTGGCTGCGGGTCTCGCTGCACATCCAAGTCACTGTGGTGGTTTATGTTTTTACCTTTGGTTGGTTGGGTTTTGTTTGTTTGGGGTATTTTGGGGTTTTTATGTTTTGTTTTGTTTGTTTGTTTTGGGTTTGTGTTTTGTTTCCTAATCTAGGATGAAACAGGTGCCTATTTAATAGACAGAGACCCGACCTACTTTGGGCCAGTGCTGAACTATCTCAGACACGGGAAACTGGTTATTAACAAGGACCTGGCTGAGGAAGGTAAGGTGTTACTAAATCTCTTGCTTTATTGTCACTTGCTTATCATTTTTGCTGCTTTTGAGTCACCAAAAGTAACTTGCAAGTAGATGATAAATCCTAATCAGTGTTGCAGTTTGATCTGTTTCAGGCAAAGCCGATCAGTATCTTGCAGTAACAGTTTATGCTGTTATTTGAGCGTTTTGAGTATGATTCCTGATGTCACAAGCTCCATCCCCAGTTAGAAGTAGAACACACATATTCAAACACGAGGAGAGATGCCTTTTATCATGTCTTGTGCCTTTCCTGTATGATTGTGTGAAATATTTGGGTTGGGTCCTCTTCAAGCAAAAGAATACTGGCTGTGAAACAAGCTCTAGAAGGTGTAAAGTGAAGGAAGAGTGGAGCTCTGGGATGTTGAGATGCGTGGAATATGCTTTTGAGGAGTAAATTCTTCCCCCAGCTTCTCCCTCCCTGTCCCCAGTTCTCGGGGGGACGGCTGTTTTCAGCCAGAGAGTGCTGAAACTGTATTGGTAAGGAGTTGAAGAAGTGGGCCAAAGAGAAATACAGTCTGACAGTATTAGCAGGAAATACGTGACGTATCATTTCCCTGTGCACTGTTGAACACAGTGTGTGGAAACAGGTGAGGCTTAACCGTGTGCATGGGAGCAGACTGTGTCTTTAAGCTTTTGTTCCAGGGTCTGAGATCTCAAACGTGTTCTGCACACAAGCAGCTGCAGAGCTTTTCTGTAGGACTTTTTGAAGTTCTCTTTACTATTCCAGCCTGAGGTGGTGGCCCATCGCTCTGCTCTGGAATGGCATTTGTGCTCCTCGTTCTACATGTGAAACGGTGTCAGTTTTCTTTGGGGTGTTTTTTGGGACAGTTTTTCAGAATAAGTGTAACTCCATGTGCCTGAAGGAAGCCCAAATCGTTGGGTTGGTAAACTAACTTTTCCTCAGGCAAAATGAGTCATTTTCTATAGCTGTAGAGAGGACAGTCTTAGGAACTGGTTGGTGGTTTTGGCCTGGAATCTTTGGTTACACCCTCTTTCCAAATGTGCTCTCATACTAGGTGTACTGGAAGAGGCTGAATTCTACAATATCACATCGCTAATAAAACTGGTAAAGGACAAAATAAGAGAAAGAGACAGCAAAATCTCGCAGGTGAGGCTGTTTTCTGGTGTGGTTTTGATTATTTGTTCTATGGCAAGTAATGGGTAGATTTTGGTTTTTTCCTCAACTGCTCATTTCTCCGGTCCGATATCCAGCGGCTGCCTCCGGCACTGGCTGAGCCGGAGCCCCGAGTCCGCAAAGGCTGATGTTGACTGCCAGTACCTGCCAGACCACGCACAGCGGGCACAGGCGTATGGCTCCAGTTCTTGTTCAAAACCTGAAAACTTTCGAAAGAATCGTCCAGAAACGTCTGGTGGTGGTAGAATTTGTCATAATACCATTTCTGGAAATAGTTATTTTAGAAAACAGCTTTTGTAAAATGTGTTCTTCTCCTGTACATTTAAGTAGTTGGCAGATGACGAGTTTTCCTAACTGCAGGCCAACTGCTGCTCACCCAGCATCACACAGGTGCTGTTTAGCTCCTGTCGTACGCCTCTGTAGCAAAGGTAGTGTCTGTGTTTGTGGTGCTCTGCAGTTGAGCAGGTTCTGCCTCCTCTCACAGCAGCTCGTGGATATCCCTTCATGTACTCACGCTTGTTCTGCCACCCTGCCGCTCTTCCCTTCCCTGGTAACTGAGTCTTGGGGGAGGTACTACAATCTCACGTTGCCAAATTTCTCTCGTACACGGGCTAGGGGATAGCAGAGTCGCTGCCACCACATTTTCTAAAGGGTTTTAGCTGAAATGGTCCTAATTATTCACTGCTCTGGATGGGGAACTCAGACAGGGAAATGAAGACATTTCTGAATATTTCCAGACATCCCTTAAAGTCAGGTGGGCTTCTGCAGAACCTCAGCCTTGATTTTGAATTATGTGGTTTGCTGCAACATGGAACAACAGGTGAGTCTTAAGGTTGTTTTATTAGGAATGTGAAGTAGCACTTTTAGTCCCTGAAATATTCCTGACGCGTTGAGTCTTTGCAAGGTGCTTCTGAACAGAGGACGTTTCTTTCAGAAGCCCTAGAGAAGGCCAGGTGCTGAAGGTGGTGTGGCTTACCCTTCTGAAGAGTAAGGGCCAGCCATGTCACGCAGTAGTGAATCCTGTGCTGTATTGTGCTTCTTGTATTTCTTCTTGAAGGTGCCAGTCAAACATGTGTACAGGGTGCTGCAGTGCCAGGAAGAGGAACTCACGCAGATGGTTTCCACAATGTCCGATGGCTGGAAATTCGAACAGGTAAAAACCCATCTGGGGTAGAACGACAAAGTCTTCTAAAAATCCCGTTATGAGAAGGAGTAAAAGGGCAATCCTGCACAGCTTTTCAAGTGCAGTCACTTTCAGAAATTGCATAAAGATACACAGTTAAGTTAAAATTTGATATTTGTAATCTTATTTGCCAGAGAATAAAAACCTGTAGCTTTCCAGGAGGCAAATTGTGCTGGCTGTCTATAAAAACATCTACATCATGTTTGCAGTATAGTTCTTCGCTGTCTACATAGGAGCATTTGAGGGGTGAATAAATGGAAGTTACCTGGTAGGTGGGGTATAAAGAGCTCTCAGTAAAAGAGATGGGCTTGGGAGATAAATGTTTTTCAGGCACAAACAGTGCTTCTTCAGATAAAGGACTGGCACATGTACGAGGGTGAACGTGATGTGCGTGGACGTGAAGCTGGATAGGTGGGAGCTGCATGACTTGCACAGCACAGAGCCAGCCTCGCATGTGCGTTCCAGGATACAGTGGAGCGTTGCAAGAAGATCTTCTTGTTGTCTTTGCTAATCTCTGTAAATAAGTAACTTAACTACGTGGCCTCTTCATCCTTCACGTTCCCAACCTACCAGGGTACTTGAACTGCATTGGTGCCGTGGATCTGTTAAGTCTTTGGTGAGGTGCAAGTGCTCCACCGCCAGCCCCGTTTTCAGTGCCTGGTGCCAGCTGTAGGAGAGATCGGAACAAACAACTCTCTTCCCCTGCACAGCCTCACTCATACTACAGCAAAGCAGCATTTTTAAAAGAGCAGCACACCTAGGAAAAAGAGAGCGTTTTGTTTATACGCAGTGAAGTGTGTAGGGTGCTGGTGCTGGGGCACAGCCGTGACCGGAGGAGCTCAGCTGGCACAGAAAGCTTTTCATGCTGCAGCCCCCCGGCTCCAGCTGTGCCAGGTCTGCTTGTCATGCCAGTGCCCCAGTGTTGTTTCAGTCCCTGAAAAAGGCCCTCCCATAGCACACATGACTGTCTGTTGACCAGTGCATTGGCAGAGGTTTTTTGACATTCCTCTTTCTCATGAGAAACGAGCTTTCACCACAGACAGAGATCCTTAACTTTTTTACCAGATGAAATGATACTTTGGCTTTTCCCTGTCGTAAAGCCTCTTGTGTTCTTCAGGGTTGTTGGATTTGGGAGTAATCCTGCTTTGACAGTGCAACTGCTGAAGGAACAATTATATTCTCTCTTGAAAGTCAGAATCTCCTTTAGGCCTGGAAAGTTCCAATTGTTTTCTTGAACATTATGTCCTTGTTTCATCCAGCTTCCCCCTCCTTCCTCCCTGCTCCATCTTGCTCCCTTGGACACATAGTTTGCAGCAGATAAACACAACTGCTGTATGGGCTCATAATGCTCAGCTGCTCGTTAACCTCAGCCTAGGCCATTCTCTCCTTTGGCTGTGCTGCAGACCTGCTTTGGGAAGACAGCGTTCCCTTGAGACATGGTGAGAATAATCTGGGCAATCTAAACTGATTTGTTGTTAAGATTTGAAAATGCTGTAGCATTTCTGTAATCTTCTCTTTTCTGTGTTGCTCAGCAGCATGCTGCCTTCAGACGTGGTCCTTGAGGTGGCACCTACCACGTTCTGTGCATCTTATTGTTGTGGGGTAGAAATCATCAGCCGTTTCAGAGGAGTAATGTTCCCATGGGTGGAGAATCCCTCTGCTCTGTGCCCCTGACACATGTTGAAGTGGTTGGTTTTGATCCAGAATACGTCTTTCCCCTTAAGAGTCCAAAATTTTCTTGTAAAATATAGTTGGATGTGGTGGTTCGATGGAAGTGGAAGGTGTTAAACTCTGGTGTGCTTATGCACATGGGTTGATGCACTTCTCCAAGGAAAGGGGTGGAAGGGTTGGGATCCTGCAGGTATGTATCAGTCCCAGGCCAAAACCTGTCGCCAGCAGTTGTGCTGCCCCACTTGGGTGATTTCAGTGGGATATTTTGCAGGTCATTTTTTAGCTTCAATTGTTATCTCTTCAGGCAAACAGAAAAACCCAATATTTTGGCAGTCATCCTGCCGAATGAGACACTTCAGACTACACAAAATTGCTACATACCAAGGCTTTAGACAGCAGTGATGTGCCGGTCATAAATTTTAATGGTTAGTGCAACCTGAGTCTGTCACCATAATGCTGGCTTAAATGTGTCCACTCTATGGGGAGGACAGTACAGAGCTGCTGACTTCAAAATTATTCACATAACAATAGCAGGATAAAGATAAGCTTCCCGTTTGTGAGCTGGGTCCACAGTCATCTCCAGCTCACGCAGAACAGGCACTTGTAGCCTGGTTTTTCACACCGAAATCGAAGCTCTGACCATGCTCGGGTGCGCTGACAGGCTGGGCTGTAATGTAGATGGACTTGGAATTGCCACGTATTGGTCAGAGAAAATGTGTTTTCTGCTAACAAGTTGACAGGTTTAGCTGAGCTTGTTCTCAACTTCAGAATTACTAGGCGTTTGGCAAGTGTGAACAGAGTTCTTGGTATTCATTTTTATGTGAACAAGACAGACAATTTCTTCCACTCCAGTTACTTTCTTGGGTCTTGTGTAAATTACCCCTTCTAAAAGCATTTGCAGCATTCAACATTTTTACCTCTAGTTGACCTCATATGCTTCCTTAGTTGTATTTTGTTTATCAGCATCTGGACAAGAGGAAGCTCTTTCATGCCCAGGCGTGCTATCACTTTACACACCACCTTCCAGGCTCATATCCACGTTACCTTTTGCGCCTGGGAAGTGTGACCGGAGGTAACACACCGTACTTGTCTCTGGTGTTGGAGTAGCTGGCTGCACCACAGCGATACGGGGATTTTCTGCCTTACCCTCAGTAACTCCTAACTCCCCTTGGAATCCCAAAGGGCTTTGCAACTGCCTCCGTAAAGTGTCAGTGTGTTGAAATGACAGTGGTAGGTTGACAGCTTGAGCTCACCTGTTACTTGTATGATTTGGGTAACCATATGTGCTTCAGCTTTACAAAGGTTTCTTTTTGTGTTTTGCTCTGATTGGTTATTTCAGCTTGTCAGTATAGGTTCCCAGTACGGCTGTGGCCGGGCCCCGCAGTCAGAGTATCTGCTGATAGTGTCACGGGAAGTGAAAGGGGAAGAGAGATGCTCCCAGAAACGCTGCAGCGAGGTGTGTCACACCGTTCTGTTTGCCCTCACACCGATGCTTGGCCTCCTTGCGTTTCTGCTGCTTTCAAATCATTCCACTGTACTCCTGGATGTACAGCACATAGCAGTTTGTGTGTATTTGTGACTGGCTTTTATTTCTATTCACGGTATTTCATTACACATTATAAATGTTCATGTTGTAAAAATGGTAATGCAAACACACCCTAGTTGCTTACTGAAGGGTTTTTCTTCCAAAGAGTTCTTACCTTCCCAGCAGGCAGCTTCTTTTCCTTAGATCTTCCTCCAAAGTTAACAGCCTTTGCTCCCTTCTGTTAAGGAAAAGGGGTATGATTTAAACCTGAGCAGCCCTGGAAGTAAAGCTGGGAGTTCTCTGGGTTCAGAAAGGGGCATTTCTGTGTTAATCATTGCTCCAGGCTGAGGGCATTCCATCCATGTCAGGGCTGGTGAAGTTCTCACTCCTTTACTCCCGGTAACTCAGAACTTTTCTTTCAGGCGGATGAAACATACTCAAACTGGAACAAGAAGTGACAGATTTTTTCAGTAATAAAATGAGTGAGGGGAGAACAAAACCAGAGGTTTTAAATCTTGTCTGAAGTGGAAAGAACATCCTGGATGTTTTTGGCTTTGTTTTTCTCATGTTTTGGTTTTTGCCCCCTTGGAAATTTTCTCGAAACCCAAATGGAGAATCGTAGCTTCACTCATTGGTGTTTTAGGCTGTCTCATCCCTCCTGCTCCCCTTGCCCTCAGGCCACTGCTTTTCTAACTGCTGTGTTCCTTCCCAGTGGTGTAGAGTTTGGGAAGGATGTTTTGCAGACCAGTGGCACTGGAGGCAGTTTCTAGTTCTGTCCATAGCTGTGCTGTGCTCTGAGTGTCTTGTGTGAATTGACTTGGGAACCTGGTGTCCTGTAGTGGTTTTCATCAATAAAACACCCGGAGTACTTGTTCTTTTCCGTGCTGTAAATACAGTCGTTCAGCCTGAAGAGCAGTGTAACATCCTGAAGATAACAGGGCAGAAGGGTGGCATGATGTGTCTGGCTGTGAGCTCACATGAACACTTGGCCATGCAATCCCAGATTTTAAACCTGGACTGTTGCCTAGCTCTTTTCCAGAATTTGCTTGCAAGCACATATTATACCAAGCACTATCCCTTTCTTGCAGTTTATGGGTAACATTTGGCAAGTGGAATTAATGCCCTGGGTTTGCAGACTTTCTGGAACTGAGTAGGGAACGTGGCCTGTTGTTAAGGATGTGTAGGGTCCCGGCAGCATGATGTTATTCCTGTGTTCATGTCCCAGATACATCAAAGTAAAAATCAACCTACTAAAGTGGGAGATGGAGGAAGGGGGTGAAGAAACGAGTGATTAAAAGACCTGAGCTTTCCAAGGCGAGCTTTCTGGTGTACAGGGAGTTCACCGTGTCTGAAATAGAAGCAGTAATATGCAAAGTATAAGGATCTTTAAAATAGCATTTGAGAATAATCGTCACAAAATTTACTCAGTCTTGAGAATCAGACGATCAGAGAAGAGAAGGAAATGGGTAGTCATTAAATTAGAAGAGCTAGGTAATATGAGTAGCTCCAGTGGGAAGCAGAAAGACAGGGGTGCTGTTTGTGCAAGTCGGCGTGCTTATCCCAGACGGTAATAGTGTTGCTGATTTGTCCTGGCAGTGTACTGTAGAGATTCCCAAGCAGTATCCTTAAACACGTACAGCAACCCTCTTCAGGCACGGTGTTGAGCTGGGGCTGGCTTTGGGCTCTGTCTCAACTCATTTTGGCATGAGATTTGTACACTACAAAAAGGAGGTTCCTGAAAGGGATGCACCATGCACAGGAATATTTTTAGGTTTACAGTCACTGATTTAAGACAGGAAGAGATTCATATATTTTGCTGCTGTTCAGAAATGTGATAGAGGAAGCATTAGATTGTTCTCTCAGCTGGACCACTTCTATCATCTGTTTCTTTTGAATAGTCTCTTTTGAAAGACGCAGTTGGCCTCTCGTAGCGCTGCAGACTTAGAAGTTCTTCAGAAAGTTACTTCAGTTTTGTCCCTGCAATCTCTCCCAAGTCTTTCCTCTGGGAAAACGCCTGAACGTGATGAGGCACCAGGTGGTACCCATCCACCGGTACCTCTGCCAAATGGTAGGGTTTTTAACTTCGCCCTTCCTGGGTGTTGTCTTTTATCTCACTTAAAAGTTCGGGCATTATGGGACAGGAACTTCCCTGTTGTTATTTGTCTTTTTAGGAAAATCCTGACCTGTTGCACATGAAGCAACGTAGCGCCAATAACTGTACTCCCGTTGATCCATTAGTAGGGGTGATGATAGCGTGGTGCCCCCGCTGCAGCTGACGGCCTGCTGCTGTCAGCACTTGCTCCCTGCCAGCGGCAAACAGACCGGGATCTGACGAAGCTTCTGTGATAAGCCGCGTCGGCGCTCTCCTGTGCACGGTTATGACGCCGCTGGGGCTCACGGGGCACTCAAGCAGGATCATGCTGCTTTAGGTGGGAGAGTGAGGAAACGAGTCACAGGAGGAAAAAACTGAGGGAAACACGTCCACGCATGTATCCATGTGGATATCGGATCGTACAAATCTCTGAAACTCAGAGGGTCAAAGTGTTCTTTTTGACCTTCCTGACGTTCTTGGTCAGTAAAACTCTACTGCTGAAGCCTCGTGAGCCGGCAAATTGGTCCGTTCAGACGGTCTGGGGAGCAGCAAGGCAGTAGGCTGGGTGTGTGCTGGGATGTGGGTTTTGCAGCCCTCCCCTTACTCTGATTTGTTCTTTTTTGGTGGGGGTTGTGTGGGATGGACAGACATGGGGTGGGGGAGTTTAACAATTCCGGTTTATCAGCATCCTTCTTAAAGTGTTGCCACCAACACTGGGAACAACGAGGTGACTTTTGGAACACAAGTGCTGAAATGTGGCTTTATTTCCGGTCCTGATCTGCTGTCATCTTCCGTTGGTCTTTTGCCATCACCCTTACTGCTGCTGCTGCATCTCAGGAGCCACGAAGACGTTTCCAGCATGCTATTGGTACTGTGCAAATCACACGTCCTTAGTTGCACACATGCGGGGCTGCTCCCAAGGGCTTCTGGTGTTGGAGGTCTGGAGAACTTCTGTTTAACGTTTCAGAAGGGACGTGATCTTGAAATGCAGCAGCTGGTTCATAATGGCCCAAGTCACCTGGAGGTTCTGCAGCTGGGGAAGTCAGTGGTGCCTCCAGCTAGCCACAGGTTGTCACTGCCACGTCTCCTAAGGGCACTTATGTGCAAAAGGTCGAGTTCCTTGGATTATGCAGCACTGGTGGGGGTGTGAGTGTGAGTAACTCCCAGCTGAGGCCCTGTCAGCCTTGTGGAACCGGCGCTGGGGAGGTGGCTGGTGTTTGGATCTTGTATCTGCTTTCAGCTGGGTCACTGATTTCCTTTGAGTGTCATTCTTCTGTCTGGTTGTTGTCATTGGGGCTTATCTGAGAGCACGTTCTTGCCATTTTGCAAGAAGAAAGGTTGCCTGTACGCTGGACCAGATCATTTGCATGAATTTTATTCTTCAAATTTCTCTTCAGAGTGGGTGAATTATGCATGGCTTTATTTAAACACGTATCCAAATTTCTGAATGCTTTCTAGCCTTTGAGTGGGTTAAAATACTGTTTTAAATAGTCCTACATTTTACCTCAGTAACTGAAGCAGTTACTCTGCATTACGTGGTTTGCAGTTGGTGTGTAATATATGGCATGAGCTTCAGACCACTTCGAACAGGCTTAGACTCAACTTAACTGCTTCTTGCTCTGAAAATATGTGCATGATATGTTTTGCTGATAAGGAAGAGAATCACCAAATCATCTCTGTGTATGAAGTAAGCTGGGGTTGATTTTCCAGCTTTTCAGTGGACACGCTTAGTTGCACAAAATGGACCAAGAACCTGGTTACTGTATGGGGGATGTGACGCTGCGTTACACGGTCCCTTATGGCGCACGCTGCAGAGTGTCCGTTGTGTGACGTTATCTGACTTCGTGTCTCAAGATAAACGGTGCCTTTGTATTCCGATGAGGATGTATTGGTGCTTCTCCAAAGCCCGGGGTTTCGTAAGCTCTCTACACGGCTTCGGTGGATGTGTCGCATGCCCTGCGATCGGCCCGTCTTCGTCACTGGCTGTGTATGTGCTTTGCAGACCTGGAGTGATGTGAGGAGGGAGGGAAAGGTGTTAGTTGATCGCAGCCAGCCAGTGTCATTAGGGTAGGTAGTTTGGGAGTGCTGGGTTTTGGTTGCCAGTACTGTTTGTTGGAGCCCAAGCCGTGTGTGCCGCAGTAACATCAGCATCCAAACACTTTGGGATCGCGGAGGCCTGGCAGCAGGTTGGCTCCTTGTGCAGACATGCTGCCTGCTGCTCCCTGCAGGCACTGGCTCTGTCTGTCTGGGGAGGTGCTTGCTTGCCTGCCGTACCGCAGTGCTGGAACCTCTGAGCATCTCTCCTCGCTCTGCTTAAAAGTACAGTGAGACTTTATTTTCTCCTGACAGTGCTATATGGAAGCTGCTTTTAACCGTGGTCAACCTTCCTCTTTTGTTGGGGGAATAATCTTATCCCTCAAGTACAGGCTCTGGACCAAGATTTCACCTTGGCTGCATCTTCCCTGCTTGAACAAGGCCTTTACGCTCTTTGGTGCTCTGCTAGACTGGAGGCAGCACAGTTTTCAGACAGATAACTGCAGCATTTCAAGTGCTGATGCCCTATGAACCAAGTCAAGCCTTTCCTGTGGGGCCATTGCCAGGACACTTGCATGATATAATAGAGACTGGGGAATAGGAGAGCTTTATCACATATGTGAGGTCATGTGGAGGGTAGACTTAATACAGTTTTGGTAAGGACATGCAGGTACGCTGTGTCTGTGCAACAGGTCGGCTTTTAGACTTTGTGTGGCGTCAGTAGCAAGAGCACCGTACCTCATCTTGTCATGCTTCTGAAATAAACCTTTAAAACAAATGAACCAGCACATCTGATTTGATTCTGGCTTGGAAAGGCCGGCTCTGTAAAGCTTCTAGCGTTAGGTAAGTGTACTGAGCATAAGGTGAGACGAGGTACATGAAATCTCTGACACATGCTGCGTGCGAGGCAGTTCTGATGTTGACTATATCCTTTCTCAATAACTTGTCATGTATCATTCAATATCAAGACTTGTAGAAGCTTGTAAATACGTCACATTTCATTATACATGGCTTCCGCTTGTAGTGCTTCCTTAATTAACTCCCTTGTAGCAGTACATAGGAATTTCAGATGTTAATTTTAGTGTCCCACCATGCTGTGTCTTGCTGTTTTCCAGTCAAATACAAATTTTGTCTTTGTCTACTCAACATACGTTTTACCAGAAGTACCCTTATTCTCTATGCGAAGTGGAGGGTATCCCTTCAGGCTGACGTGCTCCCTGCATGTAGCCTTCTGTGTGTGAAATCACGCCACACAGATACCACACACAGACCTTTTAAAAATTAACTTTGGAGGATGGGAAGGTTTCAGGTCAATAACAGAAACAGGGAACAGGCTACTTCCCCACTGACCTGCCTCTGTGGCCTTTTCTTTCACAGTGTAATCATAACCATAAATCATGCATTATGTAAATGTTTAATGAGAAAAGCTGTGTTTATCTTATCGTCAGAGTGTCAGTGTATTTGTCAACATCAAGACCTATTTGCATTGGTGTGAAGAGGCCTGCTTCAGGCACACCCGACAGTCTGAAGAGTGAGGAGTGTTTGCACTAATGATGAGAATTTATGGAATTTGTTGCATGTGCGACTGACTTTTTTTCTTTCCTCTTTCAGCTGGTCAGTATTGGTTCTTCCTATAACTACGGCAATGAAGATCAGGCTGAGTTTCTGTGTGTTGTCTCAAAGGAATTGCATAACACTCCCTATGGCACAACCAGTGAACCCAGTGAGAAAGCAAAGGTGAGTTACTGGACGTGGCAATAAAACAATGGTGTGAGACTGAGTGGGCTTCACTGGGTCATGCTAGGCCGATGGCTCTTCTGGGCCATTGGTTAATGGCCTTTTTCCCCTCACTCCTGACTAATAATGGCTCCCTGTGCATGGTATGAGATACTGTAAACGGTACAGTCAGCGTGCAGTCGTTATCCAAGACGGGGTCTTTAAATGCAGTGCTCTGACCTGCTCCCGAGACCCCTCTGGCTCGCTCAAGTATTGGCAGATATTGGCTGTTTACAGCTGAGAACCTAGCTTTTATTTCTTGCACCTCTGAATGCTGCCCTGCTCTGCCGCTGGTTCAGTTGAAAACGTCTCCTTGCTTGCGCTCAGCTGGGGAAACCCTCCAGAGATCTGTCGAGAATGGAGGTTGTGATGCGCCGGCTCTGAAAAGCAGAGTCATGTGCCACAAAGTGAAGGTGCTCGTTAGCTTCCTGTTTTCAGGCGCCTACCTCGTTCTCCTTACTTTCTGCAACCAGCTTTACAAAAGATTGAATGGGCACAGTATCTCAGCGTTTTACTCAGTTGTCTGTCAGAGTTTGTAGAAGGGAAAAGGTAAGGCCACAAGTGATCAGCGGGAAGGCGGACGGTCGGGTACGTACGCGTAGCTCCGCCGTGCGCCCTGAACGGCGCTACTGCTGCGGAGTTGCTTGGTGTGAGGAGGCGACTGCAGACAAACTGGATAATCTGTAGTTGGCTTAAGAGCTTTTCATTTAGTATATGCAGATGGCAAACAGTTGCTAAGCCAGCAAAGGCTGCTTTTTCGAGAATCTCCTTCACAGAAATTGATTTTGAAATAATGCTGAGACTTGCCGTGGGCTTTGGCACTGAGGCCTCAAGCAGATAAACCTTCACCGCTTTCTGTGCCTTGTAGCTGGGTTCTGTAAATGGCACTGTGAACGTACTCCAAGCTCTGTGTGGGATCTTGGGGGAATGATTAATTTGTGCTCTTTTGGCACTGTGAAGATAGAACCTCCGAAGTGTTGGAAGGGGCCAGCGTAGTCAAGGGTAAACAGCCAGCCTGAGTAAGCCGTGGCTCGCTCTGTCCAAAACCCTGGGCAAGGTCTGGCTTTGCCAGCATGGTTCAGGAAAACTTTAGAAGTTGACAAGGTAAAGAGGTGGGTGGTAGTAATTTAGGGCTGAGATATGTACCTGAAATAAAACGTGGGATTCGAAAACCTGCTGTGTGTTCTAGAACGGAGCACTGTGCGCACTGCCGTCTTCATAAGGGAATGTAGTACGTCTTCAGGGAACCCCAGGGGTTGCCAGAGGTTAGACTGCATCCTGAGTGAAGGAAAGCACGGCTCAAATGAAGCTGTTAAACCCTAGATGCAAATGCTGGTTCAGAGTGCAGTACGACTCAGACTTCAGGAGCTCTGAGGGAAGCTGAATCCTAGATCTCTCCATGGAAGTGCCGCTTCGTCATTGTTTCAGAGATGAGAGCAGAGCAGACTGTGAGCGGGGGGAGAATAACAATTGCTGTTAATTTTGGTCAGAGGTATAAACATTGACTCCTTTTGTCCTGGAAGGTTGAGCTATTGCTAGCAATTAATGGCAATACTCGAATAATCATTTTTTATATATTGTGTTTCTAATAGATCAATTAGTTGTTTCTTATGTACGTAATGTGCCTGGGGAAAAAAAGGAAAAACTGGGAGGAGAACGAAGGAAAACCAAATTATTTTTTGGTTGAGAGGTTCCTGACAGCTGCGTTTGGGAATCTTGACTGGCCCTTGGGAGCTGTTGTCTCAGCCGTTCCCTCGCAGCCTGTAAACCCTCCAGGCTGAGATCTCTTCCTTAGTAGGTCTTCATGAAGTTCATGGGACTGAAATTCCGGTACCCAGTGCTACGTACAGAATAATGTGTTCACGTACTGGGACTGACTTCTAGGAGCCATGAGAAAAGCCTTCCTGCCCCTTTTACAGCAGGTTGGGTTCGAGAAAACAAAAACCTGCCAGTAGGTAATTTTTACGGACGAGCACTTCAGGTTTAACCAACAGTGCCAGACTTCCAGAGCAGGCAAACGCATTTCCTGACTGTCCGTCTACTCCAGCTGCACCTTCGCTCCTTTTCAGAGATTTTTTTCTTGTGTTTCCTTTTTCTTGGAAAACAGTTTGCAGAGTTAAGTCAGTACTGACTTTGTGTAACCTTCTCATGCTCCTAAGCGAAAGAAGTTCATGGCATTTCGGACACTGACTTCAGTGATTCCAGTGGCTTTTACTGGTATCCGTGGCACTACTGAAAGTCAGCCTGTATTCCCGTGAGCATTCTTCGCTTTTATACCACTTTATTGACCGGTTAGTCTTGGGACAAATGACCAAAGCTTCTTCATAACATCCGCATCCAAAATTGGCTTCTCACATGCTGTGTTCTCCCATCCATGGTGAAGAGTATTCAGGGTTAGGGTCCCAGCTTTACAGGTTTGTCTGCATTTTCTCTGTGGTTATGGACCCTTTTGTGTTGCGTGGCACTGTTGGCTTCTATCTGCTGACTTCAGGACATCTGAAAAAGGAAGTTTTAATGAAATCTGTCATGTTCCTCCTTGCAATTGTCTGCTGTCATCCTTTCTTATGGGGGGGTCCCACATGAAAGTGAATAAATGTAATTCCTAGATGCGCCGAGTGTGAGTGGACGGTAGGCTGTTGCAGCTCTGACTCACGTGCAATCTCTTCTTTTCCCTTCTCCGTACTCGCTGCATGCTGCATGCCGCTCAGAGTGAGGATGAAGAAACGGATTACGATATGAATGACTCAGATTAAGTGTAAATGTCATGGTGAGCACTAGCTGCCCTAGGACTTCACCTAGATGCTTTCCTGCCCTGCCCACTTCCTACCCCCACTAGTGCTGTCCTGTGCCTGGTCCCGGTGGTGTGGTGTTTGTGATTATAGCTGTGGCGCGGTTAGCAAAGGTAGAATTCCTGTGCTGGGTATTGCTTCTCTGACAGAATAATTAGTGTTCCTGATACAAGCTGTATCATCATCGGATCCTTTAAAGCTTTGCTGAGAAGAAAAGTTCTTTATGTAGATTCTGCATCAGAATTGCTTTTCCTTTTTATTTTCCATGTACCAGCTTTTCTGCCAAATGGTTTTTTTATGTGTAGAGGCATCAGATAGAAACTTAGACTATAAGTTTTCAGCAAATGTCCAGTTTGGTCATAAATTAGCAAACCTGCCTCAAGTGCAACGTAGGCAAAAGATGGTCTTACCTGATGATCTTGAAACTAATAATTTTTGAACCAAGACCAGGCAAATGTAAGTAAACGGTGTGATCTTGGTGCTAAAGTTCTATTTATCACAGGAAACAGCTCTCTCGGGGAAGGGGTCAGGTCCTTTCCACTGTCGTTTGACATCTTACTGAAGATCAAGGTGCTTTGAAAGTCACAAGTGGAAGAACACAAGAGTTACATCAGAAAGAACAACTTCTGCAGCCTTTTCCTAAGGGGTCTACAAGCACTGCTCATCTTTATTCTGCTCCCCAGTTTCTGGAAGGTAACTTCTCATGGAACGGTCAGTGATGCAGTGTGTGGGTAGATGTCTCAGCCTCTAGAAACTGAAGATACTCACCATTACATGAGTTTGAACTCCAGCTTCTCACCTCTACACCTGAGCTTTTTAGCTGTAAGGCACCCTTTACACTTCTCTCTGAAGTGTTGCTTCCACATGGCTGAAGAAGAACCTGCACTATTTTATTAACTGATGCTAAAAGAAACTACTACAGAGGCAGAATATAAGGTCTTGTATCAAGTCTTCAGGAATGGCTACAAGGAATGGATCAAATCTGAAGCTTTATTGAAAAAAATAAACTGGCATGGTGCTGCAATGGAATGCAAGATTCCCAAGCTGCCCGAGAGATGAGCCATCCTTAAAACACTATTCGATCTGCAGCAGATTTATTTGCGGAAACAGTTCTCTCCCGGCCATCCTGTTCCCACTCCATTGAGTCCCACTCCCGGCCATCCTG